GAAATTCGGTGCCTTTGTCAACAGTGATTTTCTTAGGTTTGTTATGATGACTAAAATAATGTCTTAATTTTCTTAAAATCGTTAGTGACTTTTTATCTTCGATGTTATAAATTTGTCCGTACTTGCTAAAAAGATCCAAAACTGTAAGTTTGTTGCAGTACATAACGTCGACGTGGATTATTTCAAATGGTCGCTTGGCTAATAATGGTCTTCTCATAATTGGTTTGTGATGGTGCCGTTCATATTTTCCTAAAAGACATTCGTCGCATTTGTTTATAAAATTTGTAACATCTTGGGCAATCTTGAGTTGATTTATTTTGCTGTTGCTAGCCACTTTAAGGGTTGATGATCTGTTTCAATAATAAAACGTTTCCCAAATAAATATGGCCTAAAGTGCTTGCAAGAATCTACGACAGCTATAATCTCATTTTCTTTTAGCTCTTCTCGTTTCTTAAAAAGGTCCCTAGTAATTCGTTGACCTCTGTAATTGATGGCCTTTCTTCTTGGTTTGTCTTTGATTACAGCATAGTTTGGAGTTGGCATAAGTTCTTGAAACGGGGATTTAGTTTCCTTTGTTTTAAGACTGGCTAGCGGAGTTATCATCGTCTGAGTCTTCTTCGGAGGTATATAAATTGATTCTAGTGTGATTATTTCTATTCAGCATCTTCTGTATAGCGTCAGGCTAAACTTAGAATAAGATGACGTTTTGTCACAATAGCAGATGTTGATGGTTTTGGCGATGGAGTTGAAGCATTGCAATTTGTATTTTTGCTTTGTGGTACTTTCACGGGAAATGTTGATGTAGCAATATCAGTTAAAGCCCTTACACCAAGTTGCTTTTCTGGGGTAACAATGTCAGCAATAGTACATTCTTCGTTGTTAAGTATTGAGGGTGAAACAGTGTCATAATGTGACGTTACTTCAGGGTACTCTATGTTTGACTCAATAATAGTTGAAGTTTGTGGAGGAGGATGTTCGGTCAAAATCGCTGGTAATACATCAGGGTTGAATGGAAACAACCCAGTAGCCCTGAATCCATTTATTATATATTCAAGCCAGTGCCCTCGACCAAGCTTTTGAGAATATTTTGTTGAAGTTAGATTTCATCAAGCGTCTGTCAGGATTTTGATACATGTATGTCATAGCTTCTTGATCCCAGTGATGCTCAAAAGACTTATTGACGGATTTATCGATGGGTTGAAGTTCATGGGTTGTGTTACTAGACAAACAATAAAGCACAATATCATGCTTGTCTGCTTCTTCAACAATTGTATAATCCAGGTGCGAGGACGCTCCAAGAAAGATTAACAAGACTTTCCCCTGCGTTTTATACTTTCCCAGATGCTTGATGAATTCTATAAATAACTCCATGGTTATACTTCCTTTTGGAGCCATATTTCCGAGAGATCCAGCTGGTAAGTTATCACTATATTCTGGTTTTTGTCTTTGGCCTTTAAAGATGATCATTGGTGGGATAGCGGTACCAACAGCATTAACACACATTGTTATGGTAACATTATCGGCGTGCTCAGGTTCAATCAAATGGACTCGACGAGCTCCTTTTTCCTAAATTGTCGAGAATTTCCTCAATTTTCGGTTTGAGATATTTATCTTCCACAGTTTTCTCATTGAGACTTCGGTAGTCAATAACAAGTCGGTATTTCTTTTCTCCACTAGCGTCCATCTTTTTTGGAACAATCCAAACAGGGGAGCTGTAGGGGCTAATAGACGGTCTTATGATTCCATCCCTCAAAAGCTTTTGAATTTGTTTCTTTAAATGCTGAAGATGGCGAGGTCGAACGTAAACAGGGTCATCGTCCTTTGTTCTGATGTTATATTTAACTTGATTAGTAAATGTTAATTTATCTTCATTTTCATCAAATATTTCCGCATATTTATTTGTCAATCCCAATAATTTAGACTTTTCTTCTATGTTTAAATGATCCATTCTTAAAAGATTTTCGATGATAATATATTCTTTCTCGAAAGTTTACCTGTATTTTCATTAATTTTAGCAACAAGTTCAATAGGTATGTAGGGTGTTTCTGAAATAAGTAGAAAACATTAGGGGTTTTCAAATAATGTCACGAGGTAAATTGTTACTTCAGGTTTTTTGTTAATTATTTATTTTAGTTATCTGATTATAATGTGTGTTTTTACCGTCGTAATGTTTTATCACATATCGAACGGTTGTACTGATATACCACATTTAATGTTTTATTGTTCGAAGGACCAATAAGGACTCGTGTAATCTTTACTATTTATTATTAATTACACTATTCTTATAATAAAAATTGAATTGATAATGCTTATCCAGCGAGCCTATAAAGAGAACTCTTTTATAAAATATATTATCAATATGAAATGGATAATGCTTATCCAGCGAGCCTATAAAAGAACTCTTTTATAAAATATATTGATTGTGAAATGGATAATGCTTATCCAGCGAGCCTATAACGAGAACTGACTAATTGACTGTCTAAAATGTACATTTATTACGCGTTCTTTTGGGTAACTCGCGGTAATATTTAGAATAACAAAATGTCTAAAGAGTTTAACAGATTTATTGACACAGAAAACAAACAATGTTTAAACTTAACTTAACAACTATCACTATCTCCAAGGCAGTCTTTGATAGCTGATACACTTAACCAGGCCTGAGGCGCGCGCGAAACAAGGCTGACCCAGGGGGTGCAGTAGGCTTTGATCTCTACTAATTTCCAGGTAGACTAGACCCCGAAAGATGCTCAGTCTAGAGGAGCTGTTAGAAGAGTGGCCAACAACTCTCGTTTCCTGTTTTTTTTTTGTTTAGATTATGCTCGAGGAGGGGAAATCTTCGAAAGACACCCCCTGAAGGGAGGTAGTGTTGGATTTTTACCGACTAAAACCTCTCCTCGAGCGGGGAGGTAAACTCTGTGGATTGTTCATCCCCGGGAGAAAAGTGGAAAGCTGGGGATTAGGGATAGGGTTGAGATGGGGAATCGGCTAAGAGTGTTGGTGGACGGGATTATTGGGGTGGAAACGGAAGTAGGTGGTCCACCTCAGGTGGTGGGTGGACACTCGCGCTAAAAAACGAAATTAGGAGATAGATTTGAGCGGAAGAGTGCGGCTCATTGTAGAAGGTGACAGGGCCTTCGGAAACGGTCGTTGGGTTTCGGTGCGAAGTTGGAGAGTGCCGAGATGGTGGGGTTTGGGTGGCCTGACACTGAGGNACAGGTGTTTCTGAATTATATCCGGGAACTTTTTTATAAGATAAATTTTCCTATTTTGTAAATCATTTGTAACTAATAACTCGTTTAAATTGTTAATACAAAAATCATCTTCCATTACAACCAATAAATTTTCTGAGGGAAACAAAGATAGAATGTTTAAAATATTTTCCCTAAGTTCAAAAATATAGTGATAAGTTCCTGAACGGGAAAACGTAATTTGTAACTAAAAACTCGTTTAAATTGTTAATACAAAAATCATCTTCCATTACAATTAATAAATTTTCTGAGGGAAACAAAGATAGAATGTTTAAAATATTTTCCCTAAGTTCCGCATCATTAGCAGTAACCTCAAAAATATACTGATAAGTTCCTGAACGGGAAAACGTAATTTCTATAGAATTTTCTATCTTGTCTACATTAGTATCTAATAATATTGTATTTATCTTCGTTTCGTTATTTTGAACATGAAAGATAATCACCTTAGTATCAGGTGGAACCTCATTAACTATTTCTATTTTGTTATTTGTATTTACTAAGTTATCATTCAGTACCTGATCCAATTCGTCATTTACAGTTTCATTGTTATCAAATGCTACAGAAACAAATTCACCTAACTCTGCTAATAGTTGTTCTTCAGTATTGGGGCTCATTATTTGCTCAAAAATATCGTCATTTATATTTTCGTTTAATTGCTCTTTACCTTCAGTGATATAAATTCGAGAAAGCGCATCGGCGTTTGTGTTGGTTTTACCTGGCTTATATAATACCTCGTATTCATACTCTTCGAGTTTAAGACGCCAACGCATTAGTCGCGAACTAGGATCTTTTACGGAAAAAAGCCATTTTAGTGGTTGATGGTCCGTAATTATAGTAAATTTTTTTCCGTATAAATATGGACGAAAGTGTTTAACCGCCCAAACAATGGCAAGCAATTCACGTTCGATTGTANGTTCTCGTTGAAGGGCGTTTACCTCTGCACGTTGGGCGGGGACGCGGTATTTATTCCACAGACGTCGGGCCTTGTTTTTCCTCTTAAGGAGGTCAAGGATGTCTGCTGGGAGGGTTCTGTCTTTGGTGGGCGTTGGGCGGGAGGTAGTGGAGAGCTCGACTGCGCTAGTAATCTCGTTTGACAGGAGATTCACAGCTTCGTCATGTTCCGCTATTGTGCGAATTGGAGTGCACTTGAATGATGATTTTTTTAAGGGTGTAACGAAGGTGCAACCAGTCTAGTGACGTGGTTGGGTATGGGGGGTTGAGGATTGGGCGGCCGACTTCAATAAGGGCTGGGAGGTGGTCCGAACTTAATGCGTCTAAGACGATAGGATCGGCGGAAAGTGTGACATTTTTCTTGACGAAAATGTCAAGAATGTCAGGGGATTGATGGTGGGGGGTAGGGAGGAATGTGGGGTCAGATGGTGCTTCAACTGTGCGGTTGAACTGAAGGGAGTTGCCTTTATTGTTTGTTTGTCGACAGCCCCAAGAGACGTGTTTAGCGTTGAAGTCGCCTGCAAGGATGGTCGGAGCGCCTGGGGGGAGTAGAAGGGGGAGTTCAGAAAGGTCTCTGTCCGAAGGGGGGGAGTAGAGAGAAATAATCCTAAGAGGGCCGGANTTGAATCACGATCATAACCGATCTAATGCATCACATCAGAATGAGGAAAACATCGTATTTTCAGATGAGAATTCAATTCATGATAATGAATCTAATGATTCTACAAGTGATGAAGAAACTGCATCAATAAATAACAATGTGAACATGTTTTACAACATAACTTTAGATGAACGTGTATTTTCCATGTTATATATTATTATTGATTATAAAAATTGTTATGAAAAGTCAAAAAAACTACATATTGATAAAAAATACGGATTATCATATCAAACTAAGAATTTTCTTCTTCCATATTTTTGGGGTTCTTCGTTATTTTCGAAGAATCCTGAAACATAACAATTAGTGAACAGAATTTTAATGACAATAATTGATTTGATATTTAAATATTTTCACATACTTCCGTTTTAATTTTATCATGTTGAGATCGTAGGCCGGACAATTTATTGTTTAAGGCTGCTCTCAATACACTTCCGTTGAAGGTTTTCGGGTGACGTTCTCTTACAGCATCTAATCGAATATATAAAATAAGTAAAATATCGATTTTTTTTATCTTCGATGAATTTTGGTAATGTTTACCTATTAAATCCGCTAGCTTATTCTCATTTAACGCCTTTCTGACTACTTTTCCCCCATCGTCAGTCAGTTTTGTGCTTCCACCTTTCAAGCTGCTAGTTAAAAGGTCTTCCATACTGAACATTGACCTAAGGAGAGAGAGGCCCATACTTGTAAAACTACCTCTGCTAAGAGCACTATTCCATTGATCGTATGTGATACAATATCCTGATCTTTCCCCAACTTTTATCTGCAATTTTTGAAATTTATGTATCATAAATTATAACTAACTATTATAAGAAACAATCTCATTTATTCATTTACCATATCAAATTTTGGCTTTTTAGGAGTGGAACGTGACTTTTTTTTTTCATCCAAAGAATTTTCGCTTCTTTTATCAGAGTCAGAATTATCAGTGCATTTACGATTTAAATTAGGCTTCAGCTCTTTAATTGTTTGATACATCTTTGTTATGACTGTTTGACTTTTAGTTATAATTTCTTGATTTTTCATAACAGCTATAAAATATATCGATATACAATTTATACTTTATGAAAAATTAATAGAATAACTGATGCATAGAGTATAACAAACCTTCAAGTATTACATCCAAATTTTGCAGCTCGACTCTTTGCCCTTCCAACTTTCCAATACCAGAAATGTCCTGGTTTGAATGATTTGGTTTTTTAGCAGGATTGGAACCCAATGAACTATCATCATCATCGCTGTCGAATGTTTTCAGTTTTTGTTTCTTCTTAATCTTAAATGTAACGCAATAATTATAATTTATTACACAAAATAACATAGTCAAGTGCAATGTAATTATAAGAAAAGTAGTGTGTTTATCAATGTTGTACAACATTCATAATAATAATAGGTAATACGTATTACCTCAACTTTATCTTCATCAGAATCTGAACTGAGAAGATGACGCGAAAGTGGTACATAGCTTCCCTCTATCTGGAATAATATTATAAGATAATTGGAAAAAAATACTTAAATAAATACGAATTATTATGTAAACTACTCATTATGACAATTAAAAGTAAACAATTTTAATATTAAAGGAAAAAAATATGAATGAAGTCAACCACACACCTTTCTTCTTGTCAATTTGCTCTTATTTTTTGCTACTTGTTCTTCCATTTTCTTATCATCAATAAGCTGTTTGTGCTGTTCGGACTTTTGTATATTTTTTCCAGAATTTTGATTAGTGTCAGATATTATAATTACTCTTCTTGGTGATAACAAACTGTCCATTACTTTTAATTTTTTTTCTAATATTGACACACGTGCTAAACAATTTCAAAAAAATTATTAGGTTATGGTCATGAGGATTCGTTAGAATCCGTGAGAAATATAATCACACTTAATTAATTACAGCTTCTTACATAGACAAATGTTTTAAATTTTATTACCTGCAATTTCTGCTACAACGACATCATAACACTTCCAACCTCCCTTAGGTTTTTTACCGCATCGCCACTCAACAACATAGGACTCATCTGGGTCTTCACAAACATTAAATTCTTCGATATTGAAGTTTCTAATCCAAGTTATAGGAACGCCTGGAGTATATTTTCCTTTATCTTCACCATCCAGCCATTTTACTAACGCGAACTTAGGTGGATCCATTATTATTGAAATAGATATTTGAAACCACCCGGTCTTAAATGAAGATATTATTGATAGTTTTTATGCAATTTGATAAAAGGAAATAGATTCAAATATTATCACCAAACTTTAATACAATTATGAATATTTACTTAGACATATAATCACACTTAAATATTAGCTTATATAGTTACACTTTCACATAAAATATCCAGTTGGCGTCAAAATTAAAGAAGTATCCACAATACAAAAACGTTATGAATAACTACGCATTCAGCACGTCATACGCACGTTTCAACATGTATACTTATTACTAAACAAATCGTCTGCGCATGATCAGTATCGCAGTGACAAAGAAAGCGCAAGATGTGTTAGCCCTACTATCCATGGTTAATTCCGTCATTCTCTGTTTCTCTTTATCAATTCCTTAACGTTCACAAAACAAAAGCGAGCGCGAATTTCAACTGGACACTGTTTAATAGAAAAATTAAATTAAAGAGGTTTTAACTAAATAAAGTAAGACTTTATTTTAAGGTTGACTGTAATGATTCATGATCATATTTTCAATCAAAGTGTAATATATAACAGTGCAAATTGTTGTCAGTAATGAATTCATCCAATTCTTTCCTTGTTTCGAGAAGAAGACGAGCATACCGATTATACGAATCATTTGGGAATACAGAATCTATTCCCGACAGAACAAGGAGATATTGCGCAAAAAAGAGACGTGATGAAAGTTACGTAAATATACAATGTGGCCATTACAATCATTCTGATTTTGATATCTAAATTGCAGGGAAAGTTTAGCAGGAAATGATGATCAATGTGAGGTTATTAATGAAGATCTTAATGCTTCTGATATGCATGAATTTGAGGTATGATTAACAGAAAAATTAATATTGTGAATTCTGGTATAGAAGCAGACTTTTTATTCTAAATGGATAGTCCAAAGTTGATATTTTTTTCATAGTTGATAGTGTATAATTAAAAAATAGAAAATGTCTACGATTATCAAATTCAATAGTATACAAGCATCTATCGAATAGATTTTTTTTCTTCAACAAAAATATCCTCTGGAGGAAATGTTTTTCGAAAAATATTAATGTTTAAATACAGTTTACTTGCACATTGTAATAAATTTTGTATACTCTTTTAGCTATGTATTTTTTCTTGAACACGAACTTTGTATTTCTTTTAAATATTGAACATTCAATAAAAAAAGTTTATAATGTTCGTATGTTACAGCTACCAACTGATCCAGTAAACAATGTAGCCTCTACTTCTTTGAATCACGATCATAACCGATCTAATGCATCACATCAGAATGAGGAAAACATCGTATTTTCAGATGAGAATTCAATTCATGATAATGAATCTAATGATTCTACAAGTGATGAAGAAACTGCATCAATAAATAACAATGTGAACATGTCAGATTCGTTCAGTGAAAATTTAGATTCATCAACACCCCAACATTCACCATTACGTTATTCCGAATTTTCGATGGATGTTTTAATCCAAACTTTATTAGTGATTGCATCAAAACTTCGTCATAATTTAACTTATGCTGCAACTGAATCTATGATGAACGTAATTGAGGCTTTATCTGAGTCACCAACTACACATAATTCCAAATATTATTTTAAGAAGATCATGTCAAGATTCTCACAGCTAATGAGTATTCATCATTTATGCTGTCATTGTGGACATTACATAGGAGCACATGCCGAAATTGTAAGAAATGCTGAAGAATTATTCAATTGTACAGAGTGTCACAAAACTATTAGTACTACTGTTGATACAGCATCTGGAGATATTTTTATATACATGAATTTAAAGGACCAACTGCGTGATATTTTAGAGTTATCGCGTGATGGTGATTTATATTATGATAGTCGTCAAAAAATTAATAATCACGCCATTGAAGATATATTTGATGGTTCTTCATACAAAAAAAATAACAGCCAAAATATGATTAGTATCAACTTTAGTCTGGACGGTGCATCAATATTTGAGCATTCAGATTTTTCTATTTATCCATTATTATGCACGCTGAATGAATTGTCACCTCGACAACGTGGACAGAACATAATGTTGGTAGCACTATGGTTCGGCAGAGGGAAGCCGAAATCTATGAATAACTTTCTCAAACCTTTTATAAATGAAACAATAGATTTATATAATAATGGTTTCCAATATTCTCGCGAAGGACGACTGTATACAAAAAAATGTCGAGTTCTTATTTGCATGTGCGACTCAGTCGGAAGACCTCTCATTCAAAATTCGACGCAATATAATGGAAACTATGGATGTAGTTATTGCCTTCATAAGGGCTATCTAATTGATAAAGGAAACGGAAGAGTTCGAGTATACCCCGTAGATGAAGAAAGAAATGGATATGGAGACGGGCTTCGTAATCATGAAGATACTCTATTGCATGCTGATGCTTGTGATAAAGGAATTAAAGGTTATTCCAATTTATGTGACATTCCTTATTTCAACATAATTGATAATTTTGCCCCAGATTGGATGCATTGTGTTGCATTAGGCGTATGTAAACAGTTCGCAAAATTATGGTTTGATTCTCAATATCACGAAGAACTTTTTTACGTTGGCCGTCAAACTGCCTTTGTTGACTCTATTTTATCATCTTATAAGCCAAACAGTGAAATATCTCGTACACCACGTGCAATATCTGATAGACTTA